AAAAAAAAGTATTTATAACAACGGAAAATATTTATGAAAAGTTTTTGGTCGAACAAACGGTTCATTTATATGAAGCTTTTTTATTTGACTACAATTGAAATGCATTGGATCAGTAATAAAATTGTTTGTTAATATTGTAAGTGATTCATATGTAATGCAAAGATCTAACAAACAAGGTAAATGAGTCTTTTTAGCCAAGAGAAATTGTTCAGCATAATCAACATGTGAGTTCAAATCAAGAAAAATAAGATGAGGAAATATAATTAATGTTAACGAATCTTGTTTGTCTTTTTGTCCTTCACCATTAAATATAGTTAATTCTTTAAGAAAAGGAAAATAATAAGAGATGAGTTTGAAAAACTGATGTTCAAAAGGAAGTGCAATATCATTCATTGTTAATCGTCGAACTTTATCATATATAACATCTTGAAAATGAAAAGAGTTACTGAGACCAAAAAAATGTTCAAATTGATATGGAAGTGAATAGATATGACAATGTCCTATCTCTTCCATTTGTTTAAAAAAAACATATGAACCAACTTGTCCATATCTTCTTCTAATAAAACTATTTCGAATATCTTCATTTGATTGAAGACGAATTTTAGTATTTTCTATAATAGCTCCTGTATTTATACTGAAAGCAAATTTTTTTAATCGTGGCATATGAATAAGAATATCATCATTTAATTGAATACCATCAATATAATTCGAATTAACTCTTACCACTAATAGAAATAATATTAATTATTCAAGGTTTATCATTCGTTGAAGTAATGAAATAATTTCATTGTCATATTGCACTTCATAAGTATTCAAAGTCAATGAAAAGTATTTCAATTTAGGAAGTTTTTTCTATTAAAAAAAAAATTAGCAACATATTTTTATGGGAACATAATTATTAAAATAATATTTACCCATCCATTTATATATGATGGTTTAGGGTGAAGTTCAAATTCTCTTACATTGATAATCAATTTGGATAAGGAATTAAGACGTCCATCAAGAAGATAAAGACAATCAAAAAAAGTTTCAACATTAATTTTCAATTGAGTTAAATTTGAAAACATATGACTTATTTCTGGTAAATAATAAATCGAAATCCAAGTTCTACGATGAGAAAATAAATGACAAAAATTCAAATGAATTAATCGTTTCGTTAAAGATAAAATTAATGCAAATATATTTGATGTAATTTCAGATAATTGAGGTATTATCGCATTTTGAATATCAATATTCAAATATGTTATTTGATTAATAAGATCACGAAGAATTGAATGATCTTTAATATAATAGAAAACAAAGTTAAAATTTTATTTGTTTTATTATTTTATCTTATTATTAAAAATAAAATTAATTCTTTTTATAATATACCTTTTAAATATTGAAAAAGTATTTTTTCTTCAAAATTAATAAGTGATAATGAATAAAGTTGAGGATAATTAATAGTAAGAATACGTTCTATTGAATTTTGTTCTATAATAAGTTTAGTTATATATAAATGAATTTGAGGTAAAATATTTCCACATATATCTGAAAGAACTCGATCATCCATTGAAAAATTATAATCAAAAAATGATTTCATTGTTATAGTAGTCATATCAAGATTATGAATATTACGTATATACCCAGGACGAGGATTACGACAGTCGTAAACGATCGTATACGACGTCGTATCCGATCGTGTACGGTCGTATACGGTGTAAATTACGATCGTATACGACCGTATTTCGCCGTATTACTTGCCGCCAGAATTACGACTGTATATCGTCGTGTCGTATACGACGAAATACGACGTCTATACGACCACCGTAAACGATCGTACACGGTCGTATACAATGTCGTTTGTCATCGTATTCCACAGCACATTTTCGTACCTCCCCCTCTTTCTCGCCTACCCCTCCATCTACAATGGCCACAAGCTATTTGTATAAAAATGGGGTTGCCCAGTCTGACCGGATACCCCATTGATACTTTTTTTCTATTGTAAGGATAAAACATACTATTGTTCGGATCATATGAGAGAGGATCATAGATAACCTCTAGATTCGCCCGAACACTACCATGTTTTATCCTTACAACAGTAGAGAAACGCTGCCAGCTGATTTGATAGCTCGTAACTTTTCTCTACTATTGTAAGGATAAAACATAGTATTGTTCGGGCCAATCTAGAGGTTATCTATGATCCTCTCTCATATGATCCGAACAATAGTATGTTATATCCTTATAATAGAAAAAAAATATCAATGGGGTATCCGGCCAGACTGGGCAACCCCAAATGTACATCATTTAATTTTTAACGCATTGATATTTACATTTGAAGAAGCTGTTCAATCGAACCTAAATAAAAAACAAAAATAATAATTTATATTTTAAATTCATACTTACATTTCGATCAGTTGTTGAGTCGGACTAAATAAAAAAAACAATCATTTATATTTTAATTTGATACTTACATTTTAATAAATTGTTGAATCAAACCTAAATGAGAAACAAATAACAATTTATATTTTAAATTCATACTTACATTTCAATAGATTGTTGAATCGCACCTAAATAAAAAAATAGTCATTTATATTTTAAATTGATACTTACGTTTCGATAAATTGTCGAATTGAACCTAAATAAAAAAAAGAAACAAAAATTTATATTTTAAATTCATACTTACATTTTGATAAATTGTTGAATCGAACCTAAACAGAAAACAAATAATAATTGATATTTTAGATTTATACTTACATTTCGATCAGTTGTTGAATCGCACCTAAATAAAAAAACTAATAATTTATGTTTTAATTTGATACTTACATTTCAATAAATTGTTGAATTGAACCTAA